AGTTTTCCTTGACTTTCTATCTATATGACAAAGCGAGGAGCGCTAATAAGCTTGGAGAGGGTATTTAAAGGATTCCTCGTGCAAAACCATATCATGGAAACAATCATTGCTTTTTTTTCTCCATAGATTTGCCCAGCTCGCAGCTCCTTTCGACTCAAGGCTAGGCGAAATTCCTTATTTCCATTACAGTACTTCCTGTTTTGCACAAGAATTCCTTTTAATGCCCCTTTAATGTCGTTAACGCTGATCAGTGTATATTTTCAGGTCCGTGGGTAGGCAATTGTATTGGCCAGAGGAACTATCGCCACTTCTATTTTTTCATATCGTCATTGGCATTGCTCATCATTTGCCTCTTCGCTTGTTCACTTGCTCATCTGTTGATATGTGGGTGCTTTTATTTACCTAGTGTCATCAATTACATTCATTTATTGGGGAACGTACCAGAAACGATGTTCAGTTCCGGGGAGTGGGGGCAGGGGGAGGAGGAGGAAATGTACCGGCACTCATCCACGTTTATTAGTTCTTTTGCCCCTTAGTTTGTTACTTAAGAGATTAGTGTGGTGTGAACGCGTAGAAATAGTCGGTTAACCCTAGTCAGTTGACCCGACATACTGTATCCCTTCCACATTTAGTGTGGATGTTGCGAATGCCGAACAGTGGCGCCACGCTCAGCGCCGCTTTCACCGTCTCTACCCAGTATGGATCTCTTGGCCCACGCATATCGTAGAACAGTAATTCATGGTCCGCGACAACGCGCCATTTAATCGCGCGACGTGAGCGGTCGCTCAAGTCTCTGTGTCACGAACTTCTGAACACTGCCATTTATTTTAGTATGACTCGTCCTGCCTGAGGTCAAGTTTCTTTTCCACAATCCAGTGAACCAACTCAGATAACGAGCGTTAACTGCTCAAGACGGTATCTGCTAGAAAAGTCAGGGACACGGGGTAAGTGGTAGATGGGATCTTCTCCCCAGGGGTGAACATTGTCTTGAACGCGATATGAGATCTGTTTATCTGTTTGGCACGGAAGCGCTTGCTAGGTAGCGCGAGAGTCAAGCCATCTCTGAGGTCGTGGGAACTTTTAAGAGTCGGCTTCTATGCATAGTGACTGCCTCTTTGATACCGTTCCATGAGGGTTCGTTACCTAAGCTAGAACAGCAATATTTCAGCACTGGGAAAATCTAGCAATTTAGATGTCGAAATCGCGGTTCAGTTTCTCGAATGCTGGAAGAAATCACCGCTTCTTTGGTGGGTCGTCATTATCTGCTTCTTTCGGATATGTGGAGCATTCTACTCCGCGGTTGGGTGACCTTGATTACTTCTAACGGCGTGTGACCGTATATTTCGTCCGATTTCAGTTATTTTCCTATTTTGTTCCTTTTTGATAATTTCATCACAGTGCATTTGCCGACATTCCTAACGATGCACACCATACCTCAAGAAAATTTCAGGTCAATTATTGGATTGGCCGGATTCCATACATATCTATATAGCGACCAATCAGACAACGAATGAGGACGTGAGTGTGCCGATTTGGTAGGCTTTCTACGTAATCGTCCACAACATCGCTAAACTATAGAATTAAATAGATTTGTCGATCGTTTTGGGGCTGGTCGCAAGAGAATCGTACATTCGCCGCGCCAGTGGGCGCTCGCGACGTCTCGCCCGCTAGTTCGGCGTATATAGGAACGTATGGTCGAGAATACGACACATGTAGTAGCTAAAATAAACACTAGTTTCCACGATGTCCTCCGCTCTACCGTGCATGCTCGAGCGATCCATTCGGACAGGGTAATACAATCAAGGAAATGTCGCTGCCATGGTCCTCCGCGACGAAAGCGGCCCCCTACTTATGATTCTCTGGCCCGTCTCCATCTTTAATGCGACTTGTGAGTTTTGACTTCTCAGTGCAGCTAAAACTTCTCGACTGAGAGAGAAGCTTCTTCCAGTATCACAAAAAACCGCATGTGGGTACGAGGGGATGTTCAGCGCGCTTGTGGCGCGCGCTCCCAGCGACTGCCGCAGTTTCCCGCCGCGGCCTCCTCATTTGGATATACTTATCACTTTATAGTGATTCGCTTTCCTTTTGCAAGCGAGAAAATTGAAATCTTGCTCCGGTGGTGCTTCTGCTTTGCATCAAGCCTCCGGTTGCATAGAAGGGGAAGTAAAAACCTTGCAATTATTTCATTTTTTACTGCATGTACCTATGGTACTTGTCATTTGTAAACCAGTAATTTATTCTGTTCTTCAAAAGATATTATACTTCTTGCCTTCCTGAAGGCACATTCCACATAGATTGTGCGGGTGTAGTTACTTGAACCACTGGGTCCTCCTTGTTGATGCCTCTTTCCTCATTGCTATCTCACAAGGTGAGGCAATACTGGAGATAGATACGGTGGTTAATGTGACCCCGCCCATGCAGTCATCGTGCAGTGAATCATTCTTTCTCTTTCCTATCACTAATTCGGGTATTTCAGATCAAAGGGACGTTCAGCAATAAACGTCGAGCACAACAAGTCATCAATCCGTACTCATTGAATTCAGTCGCTCATAATTGCTGTTGGAGGCTTTGCGGACCGGAACCACCCAGGTATGAAAGGATTAATTCTTCTTTGTAGTCACAAAGTGCAGAAGATTATAAATAAGTAAAAACCTAAGAATATGGTAGAAAGTAAAATAGTTTTTCGGATATGTTGTCCATATCCCCCACAGCTCATTTCTCATCCTCGTACCATTATTACACATCCTACCTGTTTTTTTTGAAGAAGCCCTGCAGAAGTAGGGATGTGCGAAACTCCACAATTACGTTCATTCATGCTCTCAAGCTCAGCACCGTTCACATTTGGGAGACTCCTTGGTCCTACTGCATTTTTCCCAACCCCAATTTATATCGAGTTCCGTCTTGAATTCCCTGCTTATGCTTTTGAAGTTCTCCACTCCTGAATTCCATCTTCGATGCGAAGCTACGAAATCGGGGTTACAATACGTTTCCTACGACTCGTTATAGTTTTTGTAGTTCTTCCCCTAAATGCTGAGGTCGCGCTTCTTAGAGATGTATGTGGTGCGCTCAGCAGCCTACCAACGTGAGTAGCGCCGGGTTTAAAAGGGTGCCTTTTCGCTCCCATCATGTCCTAAAGAATTCCACCTCCTCATGAATGTCCTGGCTTTCCTTGAAGACTTAATGCGGGATCGCAGATCGTAGGCGATGGGGCTCAAAAACGAAATG